TGTGTTTGGGTTTACAACCAATGAGAAGGCAGAACAACATACTTTAAAAATACGAACCGACAGGAAGTAGGTCTCTTTTCGTGAAGCTGGGACAGCAGGAGGAAGGGTGAGATTTTAGCTCTGAGCTCTGACTTCTCGGCTTTCTCTTTTACATTGTTTCTGTGTTTCTTATTTAATAAGACGGTTGGTTACATCTACAACTGGTGGAAGGCTGAAGTTGAGTTCTGATGTCAGTAAAGGACAGCAGCAACAGCAGCAACAAAGTAGATGCACTGACCAGCAGTCAGTAGAAGAGGAAAGGCAAAAGCACTATCTTTCCTTCAGGACCTCTTTATAGCTGGGCCATGACCAGAAGGTGCCACCAACTCATAAGATGATCTTCCTGGAAATACTGTCCCAGAAAATAGCCTTAGGAACCTGGCCAAGGGTGTAGCTCTTAGTTGATTACAGAGAAGAGCAGGTTGACAACAAGGATTAGCAAAGACACTGCTGGTTGAATTGTCAACTATTCTGGTCACAATGGAAATCACTCTTGATGGTCCTCACAAAACTAAACTTAGGTTTACCATGTGAGCCAGGTAATTATTTCTGAGCATTTATACAGAAGTTCTTAAGTCAACAATCACACAGGCATTTGCCCTTCACCATTTCTTGAAGCACTTTTCATAATAGCTAATTTATGGCACTACCATAGGTGTCCATCAACAGAGGAATAGATGAGAAAAATGTGATTTATGTAAACGATGAAATTATTTTCCAGCCATAAAGAAGAATAAAGTTATGTCATTTTTGAGGAAATTGAATGTAGCTTGAGATAATCATTAATGAATTTAGAGTCTCAGAATGACACGGAGATATTGTATTTTCTCTCATTTATGGCTCCTAGATGTTACATAGATACATAAGGTCATGTAAATATATGTGATAAAAGAGTAATAGCAAAACTGTTTAGGGCAGTGGTTCTCAACCTTCCTAATGCTGTGACACATTAATACAGTCCTTTATGTTTCATTGCTACTTTGTAACTGTAATGTTGCTACTGTTATAAATCATAATGTAAATGTCATACACGGAATATCTGATATGCAACCCTGGTGAAAGGTTTGTTTGACCCCAGAGGGGTCGTGATCCACAAGTTGAGAACTACTGGTTTTGGGGAACAAAGAGAAATAGCAGGAGTTGGTAGGGTGAGAAGAGGGAGAACATAGAGTATGCAGGAAGGGAACAGGGTCAATGTATACCATTTCCACGAAAATGTTGTTTTGAAGTCCAGTATTATGTCCATTGAATATATGGTAATACAAAGAAGAAAATATTGTTGTCACGGTTTTGGACTTAAAATGCAATTTTCAAGAATGTTTTCTGATGCATTAGGTCTGCTGTGGAGTATCTAGCCTAGTTGACATTATTTTTGAAACTTGAGGCTCTAGTGATACTTATGTTGTCATTTGGATGGCTTCCTCCTGCAGAAATGACACCATTAAAATATACATGCAAATACCATGGGCATTTGGAATTGTTGTGCACGGCATGGCTCTCCGTTTTACTGCTGCCCATCTCATCCCCAACAATAAGGGCAACTGGTTCTTTCAACTCTCCTCAGGAAAGCAATCTCTCTCAAGGACAGAAAGCATTTATGTTCCTTTTAGAGGCAAAAGATGTTCCTTATGAGTCCCTGGTGTCCATTTGATTGACACTGACTTAAGAGATTGTGTTTTAACTTATGAAGGCATTTTAGAAAGGGAATGTGAAGATCCATAGTCCCTCCAATAACCAACTCTTGGCTAGATTTTTACATTTATAAATAAAGCAATGAATAAAATGTGCTCCTAAAACTGAATCCTGTAGAAATGTGGGTATTTTCAGTTTTCATTAAATTAACAATGAGAAATAGTAGGTGGCTTCTCACCTTGAAAACCTGAAGTCTAAAGAGAAGCAAGCCTTTGAAATGTGTATAGTCATTTTTAACTTCATTTCAACATGGTTTACAGAAATAAAAATTATAATACATAACACAGTTCTTGTAATAAATACTTAGGAAATAGTTATGATCTATTTAATATCTGTAATAACTTTTTTCTCTTTTTTTGACCTACTTCAATTCAGATACTCTTACCTTTACTAATATATCAAGATGCTAAGACTAAGAGCAGGAAACTAGTTTAATAAGGTAAGTGAATGAAAGAAACAAAGAATAAATGAATGAATGAATGAATGAATGTCACAAGAAACTAAAGTTGATTCAATTCTTGAGTCTTTAGCTTTTAAAGTAATTCTCAGGTCCATTCTCTCCCTCTCTCCCTCCCTTCCCCCTTTCTTTTTCTCTTCTGTCTCTCTTTTTCTCTCCTTTCCTGATAATCAGGTAATTCTATCCATCAAACTCTGATGCTAAAGAACCTGAGACCTCTCCAAATGAAAGTGATTTTTATATCTCCATGCCTCTAAAATCAACCTCAGCATTATTGGAAATGTTAGTTATAGCTCTTCTGGTGATTTGAAAGAGAAGAAGAGGTGGAAGGAGAGAGGAAGAGATGGCTAGAAGGTATAAGGGAGAGGGAGAGAGAGCAGTTACTCTTATAAATAATTAATAATCATGCATGCTTTTCCCACTAAAAGAGACATTATAGATGACAGGAAACCTGGAAAATGGATGGATTAGGGTCAGAGGCTATAGCATTATAACTGATGACTCCTGAATCTCGGTCCATTTTATTGGGTGACTTGTCTGGGAGAGTTAGTTTTATTCCTCAACTGTTGTGTCATAAGACTTTTCCTGGGGAGATGCAAAACACATGTCTACTCACCGTAGATAGGGATCCCATGACAGACCAAAGTACTGCTACACCACTGCCCTACTGGTGAGCCAATGAGTTTTACTAGTGTTACTTACAGGAATATGGGTCAGTGGTTATGTACAACAGCAGAAATGACTCAAAGGCAGCTGCATCACTAAAACCCAGACCAGCCTGGGTGACAGCTCACAAAAGCTGGAAACTTGAAGCACACTGCACAGCCTGCAGGCAGCTCAACAGATTGGAGAGTGTCCTTTCCAAGTAACTCAGTTGTTCCAAACCTCTTCCAGGCAGCTGAGCTGATTTCTGCTTCTTCCAGGCAGCTGGTCTGGTCTCCACGTCTTCTTTGCAGTTTGGCTGGTCTGAGAGTGGCTCTCAGCAGTCTTTATTGTTTACCATTGGGAAGGAGGGGCCTCCTGGATCTGGTCAGTTTTAGGGACTTCCTGAAACTATTTTGAGTTCTTTCCTTCCTGTCTTAGGGAGCTTCCCTACAGGATAGAATATTTCAATCTTGGAGGAAACTGCCGTATAACAGCAACTTGTCTGGGTCTTGGTACCCAGATCAAGCCGTATTTTGGATAATTCCTGAGAGTGTGTTTGGTGAGGCTGACATTTAAAGAGTGGACTCCTAATAAAGCAGAGCTTCCTCACAATGTGGGTGAACGTCTTCCAATAAAATGAAGGCTTAAATAATTAAAGGGTGATTGCCCCATCGACAGTGGAATTGTCTAGCAGATGGTCTTCTAGCTAATTGGCTGTCTTGTTCAACAGCAGACTGCCCTTGTACTTAACTCTGCCTCTTTCCGGAGCATCCGAGTCTCCAGTCTGCTGGCATACTCCCTCAGACTGAATTCAACAGTCTCCACAATCATCTAATTGATTTTGTTTCTCTGGAGAACTCTGACTAATACAATAACCTATACGAGCTATAATTATGCAGATTGATGATTGTTAGGTTACTTTTCTTTTGTAGTATAAAGAAAATGCAGCTCACCTTTTTTTCCCCTGTGATTTCCAGAGTGTCTCCCAAGGAGTCTTAGCCCACTGGGTTCTGTGCTTGCCCAAAGGACCAACTGCATCTGAGTCAACTGGAAGACTTGCTAAAATCCGTATTTCCAGGCTCCATCTCAGAGACACTGAATCAGAGTCTCTCATAGTGTGGTTTGGTGATCTGCACTTCTGACATGTCATTGTCTGGATTTTGTGATCATAAAATTTTGAGAACTTCTATTCTCTTTGTATTTGTCTCATTCCTGTGACAAAATACCAATAAAAGTGATTTAAAGAAGCCACTCAAGGGCACTGTCCATTGTGTCAGAGATGGCATGGTGGCAGGGGCTTGAGGTAGCTGGCTCCATTGGGTCTGCAGTCAGGAAGCAGAAAGCAATAAACTGTCATGCTCAGCTCCCATTCTCCTTCTTGTGTGGTCCCAGACATCAGCCTACAGAATAGCATCATCTATAGTCAAGGTGTGTACTCCCACATAGATTAGCCTAACCTAACCCCACAGGCATGCTTAAAGGCAGGTCTCATAGGTGACTCTTGATCCTATCAAGATTGAAAATATTATCCCTTTCAGTATATGTTTCTGATTTTGTATGGACAGTGAAATTATGTGGAAGAGACCTTTGGAATTAAGACCAAAGTAGTAGGTGAGGAATGATCCAATAGGAGAGATAATAGACATTTAGACAATAAATTCTATATGATTTAGATGTTTCCTTTCACATATGGGATATAGATAGATTATAAACTTCTTTTAAAAATAAGATGTAGTTACTGTTATTGGCTGGGATTATATGACAGATCCAAATTTGAAATATTATAGAGATGGCCTAAGGTATACACTTTTATTTAAAAGAAAATGGTGGAAAAATTTTAAGAATGTATAATGAGAATGGCAATGAAGTCCCCAAGGAAGAAAGAGGTGGCTGGGGAGAATGACAGTGCCTGGGGCCACATTCAGGAATGAACCTAAGTGTTGGGATTGCGGAGTAGTCTAAGGCACCAGACTTAAGGAATGAACCTATGGGAACTGATGAGGAACACACAGTATTCAGCTGCTGGCTGCAGCCAACCCTTCATCCCCTACAGGAAGGTTAGGGAGAAGAGGAGAGGGAGGACCCTGGCTCTATTGTGTGGATGCCAAGTGTATAATGTACAACATATGGGGTGTGTTTTCCATCAACATTATACTGAGGAGATTTTGACCCACCTGGTAAGAGAAATGAATGGGTTTGCAAAAGCAATTAGCACATGGAATCAATTATGAAGAAGGTCATATCAGCATCTGGCTTAGTGAAAACCCACATTTCCTCTAACTCCAGGATATAAGAACAGCAATTCTCACAACAGGTTGAGGCCAATAGTGTATAAAGAATGACTTATGTCTACCCAGGCCCACCCCGTGTTTATGAGCATGGTATTGATTTCCTGTTTGCTTTTTCAGAATTGACATAGAAAATGTTCTTTAACCCCTAAGAAGGTCATGAAGACTCTGGTGGGACACATGAACGTTGACAGAAGAACTCAGTTCTTTACCGTCACTTTTTTTTCCCAGTGTGTTGATTAAATTTTTAGAGACTTGCTGGTTAAGTCAAAAGTGATGACATGAAATGAAGTTCTTCTTTAAGCAGCTCATGGGGCCCGTTTCCTTCTCAACTTACACACAGAAAATTTAGGAAATAAGAACATCATGAAGAATCCTCAGCTTTTAAAGCTACACAAGACAGAGTTTCAGTTAAAAGAATTAGACTGATATTTTTTCCTCACAAAAATATAATAAAAGTGGTTCACTATTTTAGCAAGACCTGCTAGTTTACAGACATATGACTTCTAAGTTTATTTTGAAAATTATTGGGAAGAGAATTAACTATGAAAATAAGAATCCAAGGATCCTGAAATTACTATTTTAAAAAAAACCCAACAGTACCCATTACAAAGATAAACAAAATCTAGTTATAAAATTTGAAGGCATCTTGAATTTTGTGAGGCCATGGGGCAGAGTGAAAATGAAATGCAAGCAGGATGTTGGCAGAGTCATTGAATGCAGAAGTTGGGATATTATTGACTAATTGTCCAAATCAGCTCATGCCCTGTTTGTAGTATGGCCCCAAAGCCAAGACTTATTTTTAAATCATTAAAGGTTTATAATAATAAAGAATAGGCAGGAGTAGACACATGTGGCTGTCAAAGCTCCACAGTATTTACCTCCAATCCCTTTCCAGAAAGCATTTGTTGCCTTCAATCTAATCTAAATAAGAAGGGGTTTAGAATCTTTCTGTCCTTTCTCTGATGGCCGCCAGACTGCGTGCCTGCTCTGAGCCCGCTCCCTTATCTGTCACTCTGAGACGTGTAAACTGGACCAGCTGCACACAGCCAGCGGTCCCCTCCTTATCCACAGCGCCCTGCAGCCAACCATGCTTTAAAGACATCGTGTGAAAAGTTGCAGAAGTAAAAACTTCTTGCATTTTAAACATTTATTATCACATATCATTATAATTGTTCTGTTTTGACATTATTGTTGCTATCTTATTATGCTTAATGTGTAACTTAGATTTCATTATAGGGATAAACTATGGAAAGCAGAGTTTGCATGACAATGGTGTTCTGTGAGGTGTCAAGGAACCCCAGAACATCTTGGAACAGTCTCCCTAGGGATAAAGGAAGACTGTTATAAAAGAGGATGGGGAGTTTAGTGGGGACTGGGAATTTTTGCAGCAATGCATTATTTATTTCACTCTAATAATAACTCTATGAGGAATGTTTCTTATTACAGATGAAGAAACGAAAAAGGCTCAGAGAGCTTAAGCAATTGCAGAAAGTCACAGATGTGGCAGAAAACAAAGCTGTAATTCAGAACCACGATTTGCTCAACTTCTGAGTCTAGATTTCCTACCTCGAGGAGCCTCTGAGGGAGAGAGAGATGTGAAGCTGTCATTGTCTCAGGCCAGCTCCTTTGTCCACTCAGATGAACTAAATAGTCGCCTCTTTAAGTTCTAACTAGTGAATTTGTCATTGGTTGCCTCCAATGATATGACCATAGAGTACTGCCTGTCTTGGTAATGAATCTGGCAAACCTGGCATCACATGCCAATGCTATCACGAGGAATCTTAAAACTATTGCCTGCAATGATTCAATGAGACATTGTTACTGATCTTCCTTTTTTTTTTTTTTTAAATGTGGTGCTGCGGGTGATGGGATCTAAGACCTGTGAATGCTAAGCAAGTAATCTGCTACCGATTTATACACAGAGCCCCTTGGGATTGTTTTTAAATTAGCACAGGGAGATTGTATTGCAAGCTTATTCCAGTGAAAATTTTGGTCAGATAACATGCTTTGAGCACACATTGTACATTGACCCCTTTCCCAAACAGACTTCAGTAATTTGAGCAAAATTGAAAATACGTCTTATCTTTATCAAGCAAAGTCTTTTCATAGTGTATGGTGTTTGTCATATGAAAGGGGCGTGTGTGTGTGTGTGTGTGTGTGCGCGCGCGCGCGCGCACGCGCACGTGGGAAGGACAGAAGAATATTGAGCGTACTTGACATGAAAACCCTTTCAAGCATCCTGACCTTGAAGATGGACAGATGACACAGGGTCCCAATATGGAAGATAAAGGAAGCAGAGACCTAGATGAAATGCCTCCTTCTGGAACAGGGTACAATGAATCATTAGCCAACTGTTCAAAATGGAGATACATAGGGGATCCAAAGCCTGGGCAAATGAATCTGGCTTTCTATTGGGCTGGAGGAAGCAGAGAAAGACAATAAAATGATTAACAAATAAGAGAATGAAATGACCATAGGGTGAGCACCCTGGACCCTAGGCTAGCTGATCATGGTTTGTACACCATCTCACTTACTCTTCCAAGCCACATGGTGAGGTAGGGACAACTGTCTCCATTTTATGGGCAATGAAGCAGAAGCCACAGAGAAAGTACTGGGCTCATGTAAGGGCAAATAAAACATAACTGGACTGTCTCAGGAAGAGTAGAAGGAGAGAAAAGTATGGTCACAAGAGAGAAGGCTGGCCAACACCCTAGAACTCCACAGCTGCTCAGTAAACATCTGGATTATTATTGCATTGGTCAGTCACCTCTGTGTCTCCAGTGATCCCTGGTACTAAAAAAATTAATTTAATATGAAAGCCATGATGGTGGTGATTACAAAGCTGATTCAAGAATGAATTTGAGACTTGAGGCAAGGCAAGGAGGAGATGTTTAGAAGTGCTCCCACTTTTTTCTAAACAACCCACTCATGACAGTTAGTGGGTAAAAACTTACTTCTTTTTCTTGACCAAATAGATTCTTTACTGGGCAGTCAATTGTCAGACTAATTTGTGTAATAGAGTCATACTTGAACATAACAAAACTTTATTTCAGATATTTCATGATTTGAACTGCTGTGAGCTTCTGTTGATCCAGAACACAACAGTAATTCAAGTTGTTAAGGTGAGGGCTCACTGTGTGTCTGCCCAGGATTCCAGGAACATCACATCCCCATCCAATGACATCTTGGGGTTTGGAGTTAGGGTATCTTATGATGCTGGAAGCAGAAGGAATTCTTGGGGACATTTAGTCTAAGCCACTTCATTGTTCATAAAAGGGAACCATGTCATGAAAAAGATCATGGGATTTGCCAAGGGTGATGCATGTGTATTGATAAAGCAAATGGTTGAAGTGTGCATTTTGAGTGACCTATCATCTGCTCCAGAACTGGGTCCATGCCTGGGTTGCATATTATTAGAGGACTCCAGTGACTCAGAGTCACTCTGGAAAGGTTGATGGCTTGGTCTCAGCAGATGGAGCCCACCCCAGTTACCTGTTTGCCTCTCCTGATTATAGAACCTCATCTAGCACTACTTTTTTGGGTCTTACACTATCCCCGAAGGCCACACTTTCCTGTCTGACCCACAACACATATCTAATTTCTTAACTAAGGACTGAGAATGAGATGGTGATCTGGGACTCATTGATATTAGTACAGACTGCATATTAGTCCACCCTTTAAAATAGCTGGCCTCAACAAGCCTTCAAGTGGCCATCTAAAGACAATGTTGAAGTACAAACTCGGGGGCAATTTTCTTTTTTTAAAAAAAGGGGTGCTGTCCTTCAAGCTGTAAGATATGCAAGAAGTTGAAACTCTCTCTAGGACACCACATCCTCAAGAGGCAGGTTATGTGAGCCTGCGAACTAAGGTGTGCAAAACAAAGATGCCCCATTTATCATCCCGCAGGAGATTTTGTGCT